AAAAAAAAAAAAAAAAGTTTGCAAAAAAGTTGATTTTAAAAATTCTACTGCACGCATTCCGCTCGTTCTACGTATTTTACATTTCCTGTTCTTTTGTAATTTGAAATCCTCAGGATCGGCACTAGTAAATTTAAATGCTTATCTCAAGCACTGATAGTTAATTGAGCGCAAATAAACTTTTGTACTATGGCATTCTGCTTTTTACACAACACAGCTAGTTTTGAATAAGATATGATCCAAAATATAAATTGCTGCGCAAAAACAACATACATGTTACAAACCTGCTTTTTCAGAAAAAAAAATTCGTTTCTCAAGATAACCTCATGTTTCTTTAAAACGTAGAAGTTTAAGAATCATTAAAAGTAACGCGGTGAAAGAGGTCCTATATTATAAGAGTTTGAATGACAACAAACTGTCTGCAAGTAGAAGTTAACACCTCCCAGAAAAATATTGAGAAAATCCACCTATTCTGTTGAGTATACACCAAATTATACTTTCTTCTTATATAATTATGATCTAATGATTTCGAAAACGCGTAACAAACAATGAGCAAAAACTAAAAAAAGAAAGCATCGTGTAACTTTTTAGCTACTAGAAAATTCTTCCATTATATTTAAATGTTGAAAAATCTTACAACTACAGTTGACAATAAGCCGAGTAAACACTGTTAATTGAGTAAAAGAGTGGATTACAAAATTACTGTTTACTTTATAAGTGTAGGGATAACATAACGAACTATGATCACGAGATGATCATAAAGTCACATGTCACGAGCAAACAGCTACTAGAACTGATAACTATGGTAATCTATACTAACAGCAGTGGTGGCTGAAAACTCCACAATAAGCTTTATAATGCTGTAACAAAACCTTAATGCAGAAAATAAAGCTTACGAAAAAATAAAAAATATTACTAGTCACTGAGTCATATCAGATAAAAAAAAAAGGAAATGTGAAAGCGAAGTGATTGACGAGAATAAATAAAATTAATAAAAATGCAACTTAAACTAAACGGACCAATTGTAATCAAAAGACATACTTGACATATTTAAAACTCCTGAATCTAGATGCAAACAGACTAAAAATTTTGCGCAGCTTAATTACCATTATTGCCACCTTGCTAAGTCTTTTTTAGACTTGACAATATTTAATTAGAATTGCCACAGCAGAAAGGTTCGATAAAGCAACGAAGTAAAAACTGCTAAGTAGATCTAACCAATGTTAATTGGGCCAAACTCCACTATCCGAAAGCAGCAACAGTCTTCATTTTTTTAAAACAAAGAATAATATTTCAGTATAACTGTAAAAATCAGTTCCCACCTGACTCTAATTTGAAATTATAAACTTGTTTCAAATAAACCTTTCTTTGAGGTTGACTTGCTTAAGCAGAAGTACTCGGTTGCAGCAGTCTAAAAGACTATACAAAATTTTTTAAAATTACTACGCGCCTCAAATGCACTCACAAATTTCCAGGTTCTCAATGTGCAAAACGGTAAAGAGTTCTGAATGCGGACTCAGTAATCTCCAATTCGAGGTGACCAGCCAACGAGTGAATAAACAGCCTTTTTCAAGAAAGATTAAAAAGATTATAGTTATGCAACACGTGTCAGGCAACCTTTTCAGCAAAAAAAAAAAAAAAAAAAATTACTGGGATGAACCGGTGTATGTCTCAATCCTTCTAGTAAAAAAAAAATCGACTTTTTTACTTCAGCGAAGTAACAATTTATAAGATGTTCTTTTAACCAATTCACAAGTCGAGTATGCATACAGGTAAAAAATCGGCCGTGCATGTGTGACTTTTGGAAAATAGTTCTTTTAGGAGAGGGATACCGGTAAAATTAAAAAGCCGTTTCCGAGAATTTTACGATTTCTGTGCAACACTGCTTCATCAAAGAAGCCTTATAGAGAAGCAGAAGGAGAGGATAAAACAATAAAATTCTAGATTAAAGAATTAAAGATAGAACCGACTCAAAGAAAGTAAAATAGTGAAGATTTAAAGCAAAGCACTTAAATCTGATGAAAACTAGTAAGCATGCAAAATAAATAAATCCCAGAGCAGACAAAAGTAGACAACTGAAATTCCAGTGAATACTGGTAAGTTAGATGAACACAGAAGAAGATGCAACAAAACTTCCTATGTGATTGTAAATATGCATGAGCAAAACCTACACATAAAGAAAAGAAGAATAATCGTGGAAATTTTGCAGCTGTGTTGAAAAAGACAAGTAAATAGACTTTACACTTACCCTCAATAAATAATGCACTTTAACGTCTAACTATTCACTTTCTCTATAAAAAGTGTCTCCTAAAATTCCTTGCAGTCATCTTCTCATTAACTCCTTTTATTTCCAAATGCGTAATATTTGCTCTAAAATACCTCCCATCGACTCATTACTACTCTTAAATGTTCTTATTTCACTTTTTTAGCCTCTTAAATCAACAAAGGTTAATACCATAAAAATTTAAGGTTTCCTTGCTCAAAATGTTTCAGACTCATCTAATAACTGCTTTCTTTTCCATCCGTACTTACCGTCAGTGATGGTTTTTGGTAGCCCTTCAAAGTGGCACCATAACAATGAAAATTCACAAATTTTTTAGCAGATAAGGAAAAATTTGAATGAAGCTCTCATAAATACAACATTTCTTTGGCATCCAAACCTAAAAAACTTCAAAGCAAGGTCTCCGTAGTCTTGAGAGATTTTCACTCTCGTGAAAATAAAGCTATGATCAGCTTACGTTCTCCGCACGATGCCTCAAGAAGAAATCTCTTTGCTTACCCCAATCGCAAGCTCCCCGACAATCGTTAAGTTTTCATCCCAGTAGTTCAATATAACCCATAATCAACGCGAAATTTCAGAGGTTACAGAAACAGAGCTATAAACTATTAATAGAGCTAACATTGACAACTGGCTCAATATTAAAAAAAAAACGTTATAAAAAATTTAGAACAACAGTAAAGCAAAAAATTAAACTGATATTAAGCAGAAAAATTTCCACGCACCTTTTGCGCCACCATTTACACTCACCTTCAAAAAGTTCTAGTATTTTATTTTATTTTTAATCAGTTATGCAGCGAAAACATTAAAAGAAAAACCACTTTTGATTTTAGACTTGCAGTCATAAATTCAACCTCAATAGAAATCGTAAAGACAAACTGTCTATATCGACTTATTAGTAAACTTTTTAGCTTTTCAATTAATTGCATGGCTATAATGTGTTTCTCTACAGTTTTGATCTCTTCCTTCCATGGTAAAAAAATAATCAAGAGAAAGTGCATTTTATTAGAATGCTGATAAAACTACTGACTACGTATATAACAGTTTACTTTGTGATAGAGTATCAACTGCATGCGACTTTTCTAATAAAAAGTAATAAGCCAGAAATAAAACTCCAGATAGCTCTCAAGTAAAATAAAAAATGTGAATTTAAAAAATCTTGAAGAACATTCTCTATATTCCAATATAATGACAAGTCTATTAATTTTTCACACACGCGATAGGCATAACTATAATCTACAATTCTTATAATAATAGCTGAAACTGGAGATAGAGCGCCTACGCAAAACTATCCAAAACAGCTGCTTGACTACCGTTTTTCATATACAAGAAAATACAGTTATGCAGACTGCGTAAAAACAATATATGCAATGAATTCAGGTAAAAACCAACGACCTAAAATTTCAAAAAATTTCTCTGTAAATTCTTGTGGTAACAAGTATTCTTTGATAATGAGCACAGAAAGAAAGCTTTAAAAACTTTCTAATCCAGTGCTTGAAAACCGAAAAAAATTTGCGCGCAGGTGGAATTTACAGTGACAAAACTTTAAAACCCTACTATCCCTTACCAGCAACTAGATATCAGTATGAACATCAAAGACTTGCCACAAAAGTGACTAAATTTTAGCTTTAATGGACTGTTATTTAGAATGAACATTCCTTTCACGTCTACCGCAAATTCAGTTTGTCAGGCTTAAAATTAGAAACAAAATAGAAT